CCGTAATACAGAAGATTACCTTCTCATTTACCTTAGACAGGCTTAGTCAAGCAATGAGTTTTATTTTTGACACTCCAAATATGAGACTAGGTGCAATAATGGAAGTCCTTAGATCATGTTAGAGACCAAAGATTTGTTCTGATTTTTATTTTTTCCTCTTCATATTGTTTTCCCTAGCAGGGAGAGGGAGATGAGGTAAACACTGGATTTATGCAGGATACAGTACAGATCATTTCATTTAGCACAATAAAAATAAATCACAGCTATTTTCTGAATATCCTCCTTTTTCTGTCAGAACAAACTTCAGATTGCCAGCATTTGTTTCACAGGGTTTTCTGTGACATCAGACCTAATCACAACCTATTCTAATACTTAAAAATACAGGACCCTGGCAACACTCCTTCCGCTCTTCAGTCACGGGGCAGCAAAGCAACTGCAGGCTATTGCACTTGGATTTGTCAGAATAAATAATTAAGAGGCTCATCAGCTTGTTCACTAATGAACAAGGAAATGTGATTAAGCAACTTTAAAAGAGAATGGCTGAAGACAATATAGAAATGATAGCAGGATGATTGCTGTGAATGAGAGACTGAAATTTCTGAATAAGAGATTTCTTTAACAAGACACAAGGACAGTAGTTTAATCTTCCATTAAAAGGTTCCTGCCAACTTGGAAAAGCTTTGAATCAGGAGATTACAGCCATCTCAGAAGCTGACAAGGCAGTCACTTCTCTTAAGACAGCTACATTCTGGCAAATGCTGAGAAATAACTTTTTTTTTTTACAGTTTCAAGACTCTTAACTTCTACCAAACAATGACTAGGACATCTCTGACTAGGCAATCTTTTATTCTCAAAGACTCTGAAAATACAAATTGTCTTTCGGACCAAAATGTTCTAGAGATGCTTGCCAAGTTTACTGTGGCTAACATCTAGAAATTGTACTGATTAGCTTCTGGCAACATTCCTTGAAAGGAATGGTTTTGTGTTTGTATCTCATTAAATATCTTATTCCTCTTTGTTATTCTTTAGCACCAACAAATGTACTTCCACCTTATATCTAATCTGTTTCTGTTTTTACTGTCTGCTTTCCTAGCTTATCTAAAGGAGATAGCACATAATATAGAAACTTGAAGGAAAGTGAAATAACAGAAGTTGCTGTAATTCTTCTGTATGTCAGGAGAAGGATATCTTATTTTTTCCCTTTATATACATTCATAAATTACAGTCTTTTTACAAGTAAAGGCACAAAAGTCAAGAAGCATATTACAAGATTTCTGTCCAAGGGTGGTTATATCAGACTGTAGAAGTTTCCAGATACTCAGATAGAAATATGGTATGTGCAGAAGTGTGAGATTCATAGTTACGCAGTTTAAAAAAAAAAAAAAAAAAAAAGAAAAAGAAAGCAAAAGAAAATGTCAAACATCTTTTTAGTTACAGAAATGCTGATGTACCTCAAGATGCTCAATGTTACAGAAAATACTAAGGGTCTGAAACCCAGGCAGAAAAATACCGTTCTACTTCAAGGGGCTTTTGAGGAAATTATTCTTTCCTTTTTTTTTTCCCACATGATGTAGGCCCACAATAGTGTAACGCATAGTACGTGTAATAGAAACCAGTTTGTATTTTCAGCCAAAATTCCAGCTCTCTCCAATGGAGATTTGATTCGGTTTAAACATGTTAGCCTTTGGATATCTCCCTGTGTTTCTTACAATACTTTGAGATCATATTGTTATCTTCTAATTGTGTTCCATAAAGATGCAAATTCATAGGTTTTCAGTTACTACTTTGAAGATTACTTGTACTTTTCTGGTTCCATATAATAAATTACAGCCTAGAAAGTCAATTGCATCCTGGGCTGAATCAAAAGAACCATGGCCAGCAGGTCAAAGGAGGTGATTCTCCCCCTCTGCTCTGGTGTGACCCCCCCTGCAGTGCTGTGTCCAGCTCTGGGGCCGCCAGCACAAGACAGACATGGACCTGTTCAAGCGGGTCCAGAGGAAACCACGAAGATGCTCAGGGGGCTGGAGCAGCTCCCCTGTGAGGACAGGCTGAGAGAGTTGGGGGGGGTCAACCTGGAGAAGAGAAGGCTCCGGGGAGGCCTTACAGCGGCCTGCCAGTGCTTAAAGGGGGCTGCAGGAGAGGTGGGGAAGGACTCTTGATCAGGAAGGGCAGTGAGAGGATGAGGGGTAACGTTTTCAAACTGAAAGAGGGGAGATTTAGATTAGATATTAGTAAGAAATTCTTCACTGTGAGGGTGGTGAGACACTGGAACATGTTGCCCAGAGAAGCTGTGGCTGCCCCCTCCCCGGCAGTGTTCAAGGCCAGGTCAGATGGGGCTTGGAGCAACCTGATCTGGTGGAAGGTATCCCTGCCCATGGCAGAGGGGTTGGTACTAGATGGTCTTTAAGGTCCCTCCCAACCCAAACCAGTCTATGATTCTATGAAATTACTGTTTGATTAAGGTTATTGCTTTTCTTATACTGTATTTATTGTTATAGCCAGATACTTGACTTCTGTCAGAGCTTTATCCCAGTGAATATTACAACCTACTTCTTCATTTCAGATTACATATGTTCTCCTTTGACAGAAATAGCTCATTTTGTATCTGTTGCTTGTGTTTTAGCTTCATGCAGAGAATCAAAATAACCCAAGGCCACTGGTGATCATGATATGTCATCCTATGACACATCCTCTGAGCACAAGAATAAGGAGCCATTTCTATAGGGACATCTAACAGAGACAAAACCTCCTCTCAGGATGCAGAGATGTAGAAGGGGTCTCTGTCTGTCAGGAAATCTGTGCCGTTCTCTTTCCCGAACTCCTCAGTGTAGGGCGAAAAAAAAAGGGCAAAAAAAAAAGACAACGTATTTCCTCTTTATGCTTTCTCTAGGCCAAGTTCTGTGAAAACTTCTCTGCAAAGCTTCTCTGGAGCAGATAGATTGTATGGGTGTAGTCAATGAGGCATTCACATCATCTTCTCTTTCTTCTGCAAAAAGAAGAGCAGTCTTGGAAGAATATTTCTTCAGTATTCAAGTAAATTCCTTGTAGACTAACATTTGTATTTTAATTTCAATGAGAGTTTTGTTATTTTTATTTTAGCTTAGACATAGCAATTTGCTTTCTGTGCTGTGCTAGAATTGGTGCCTCATTCCCATCATCTCCAGAGCCAGATCTGGAGCAAAACTTCCTTTTCTAATTAATTGTGCCAGAATATCTTAGTTATACATATAGGCTGGAACTATCAATGATGTAATGCGTGTGAATCCATTTCAACGTAACTTTAGATTTCTACAGTAGATTAATTGTAGATAAACCCTTCATGCAACAGTACTTCTGAAGCTTTTGTATGAGGAAACTTTTTCGAATTGTGTAGTCATTTAAAGGAACCCAAAACTATCAATTTTGTGCTAATTACCTCCCAGCTACACCATTCTGAAAAATCATCCTTTTTTTTTTACATTTCCTTAAAAGTTAAGGCATCTGACATGTACATGCACTTTTCTTTTGTAGGTGGAATGGAGAAAATAAACCAGCATACCTTTGCATTAGCTCATTACACCTATACCGTGCTGTCTACCTTAAAATATGCCAATGGGGCTCCTGTAGTACGTATATACAGTGATACAGATTTCAGCAGTCCTGATGTCCAGGGTCCAATCATTAATTTTAACGTGCTCGATGAAAATGGAGAGGTGATCGGCTTTTCACAGGTATGTTTTTCTCTTGCCTTAACTGTTATGTTTATATTTTAAGCATGCTCACAATGAGTTCTTTACTCCAAAGGAAATATTTTGTCTATAGTGGTCTCTTCTGAGGTTTTAGGGGTGTTTCTTCATAGCTCTGCGCAATATATACACACAATTTTTCAAGTAGTAGAAAGAGAATCCAATAAATAGTGCTAGCACAATGTGAAGTACATAATAACCAAAGCCAGTATCTTACAGATTTAATACTCTACGCATAGGAAGATTGAAAGTGGGCTGTTTTAACAGGATGCATTGAGTAGGCCGTTAGGTTTCTTGTTGACTTCCTTCTCTAGAGTACTCAAAACTAGGAATCAAAGAGCAAGTCTAGAAAAGACGATATAAGAGGCTGCCTTAGAGCTTTGACATAGAAGTGAAATCAGATATCAAAATACCGCAGTCACCCATGAAAGAAGAGTTTTCTTTTCCCTTCAGTTCTAATAATTACATTCTTGTAATATTCCTGAGGGAGCATTGAATAAAGTTGAATGATTAGTGTAAGGAGTGAGATTCAAGCTCAAAAAACTCTTTGATGCTGTCTTTCCCAACAGCTTTCTCTAGCTTTTATCCATCAGGTATACTGAGTATCTGTAAAATGAAACTTTGTGAAATTTTTCTACCTCCAGTAGAGAGGTAATAGTGTATGTCCATAATCGTGTAATACTGTGCACTGTGTAGGCAGTGAGTAACGTAGGGTAACATAGCTCACTTGCTCATCGGGAGAAATCAGAAAAAAACTCAGTTCTCTAATTTTGCTGAATTCTTCTGTTTTCCATTGGCTGATGATTGAATAAGCCCACAAGTCAAGTTCAAGTGTATGGCCTTGATTTTTTTAAAGAACTGTCAGTAACTGGCACCATCTGTCTCAGTGACTACCTCCCTCTGCCAGCAGTAGTGGCAGAGCTGCATCATTCTTGGAAGGTGGTAATTCTGGACCATTAGGGAAAAAGTGGGAGTGCCACAAAAGGCATTCCTCAACACTTCTCTAGCAGAGAGGAGAAGAACAAGATAACGAGGGGAACACAGAGACACATCTACAAGAATGCAAGAGCAAATCCATAAATACACAAAGAACAGAATTGAAGCAGTTACTTTGTGTCCTGTCAATATGGAGTTTTACAGGGGGTTTTAAGGCACTTAATTGGGCTTGGCAAATGTGTAGTACTGAAGAAGTTCTTCTTCCCATACTTTTTTTTTTGGACTATGCTACCCAATAGTCTCAAATATTCACCACACTTCATTTCAAAGGGTTCCACATTTTAGGAGTGAATTAGCCATTTATATAGTCTTGAATACGTGTGGCAGTGTTCAGAAAAGACTGGGGTTATTAACACAGCTGGGTGGGTAAAATGCTCAGCAAACACTCTGATGTTGCTTCTGTCCTTTGGTTAAAACCAAAACCTTTATTTGCACTTCTGATTTTCAGAATTTCTTAGTAAAAATGATTCTTGCCTGTTTCACTTTTTTAAACTCAACTGTACCATCAAAGAAAAAATTATTTTATAGTCTTATGCCTCCATTGTGCCTGTTTGCTGCAGTGGCTGCTCATAAAAAGCTTCTTTATTGATTTCTATCATCTGGATTGTGCTATTCACCAGATTCTCATCATTTCTGGTGTAAGTATGTAGAATGAAGAACTATAAAGTTTTTAAATGCATGCCAGTCACGTCTGCAGTACCTGTTCGATTGCTTTGTTTAATTAAAATAATGTGCAATTTATGACTTTTAGAAATTAACAAGCAACAAGCATCCTTTCCAAAGCTATTATACATTTTATATATATATATGCATATATATAAAATTGGCTTCTTTATGGAATGAAATTCTTTCATAGACATCTTATAGCAGTTATGGGGGAGAAAAATGTTTGCTACTTCGTTATGATTACAAAGAAAATATATACAGCAGAGAGTAAGCTTCATCAAATTGACAATATAATCTCATCTTCATACCTGTATATGTGTCTAAAATTAGATGGGTTTATTCAAATCAAAGTTAAATCCAATACTTCCATTAATTATTTAGAAATTAAATAGTGTCCTCTAGTTTGGTCATGTCTGCAATCTGCACATTCATGTGGATTCACTGGTCAGTCTCCAAATGCAGTCTAGTGGAGTTTGGAGAACACAGTTTCAGAATCACAGAATCACAGCACAGTTTGGGTTGGAAGGGACCTCTCAAGGCCATTTAGTCCAGCCCCCTTGCAGTGAGCAGGGACATCTTCAGCTGGATCAGGTTGCTCAGAGCCCCGTCCAGCCTGACCTGGAATGTTTCCAGGGATGGGGCTGCTGCCACCTTTCTGGGCAGCCTGTGGGAGTGCTTCACTACCCTCATTATAAGAAATTTCTTCCTTCTATCTAGTCTAAATCTGCCCTGTTTTAGTTTAAAACCATTACTCCTTGTGCTATCATAACAGACCCTGCTAAAAAGATTGACCCCATCTTTCTTATAGGCCACCTTTAAGCACTGGAAGGCCACAACGAGGGCTCCCCAGAACCTTCTTTTCTCCAGGCTGAACATCCCCAACTCTCTCAGCCTGTCCTCATAGGTGAGGTGCTCCAGCCCCCCATTCATTTCCATGACCCTCTTCTGGACCTGCTCGAACAGGTCCACACCCTTCCTGTGCTGGGGGCCCCAGAGCTGG